GCAAAGCTCAAGTTAAACTGGTCGATTCGAAGTGAAACAATTGATGACACCCGTCAATTGCTTAGAATTCCGGCTGTCGGAGCGCAGTTGTCACCGTAATGATTTGGCAGAATAGTTTTCAAACAAATTAAATGACATTCCGACTCTATTTCTGGTTATATGCTCGATAGATTTGACACGCCTGTCCATAATATTCGCAGTGCCACTCAGAGCTTTAAATCGCAAAGATCTGAGGGGCACTGCCACTGCGCCCGTCGCCCTGAGGCATAAGTTGACAAGTCCCATGTGCCTGTAATTTCACCAGCACCCTTACCCTTTAAAACCTTTAAAACATTACTGCTTGGTGGCAGAAATAGATAAGGTACAATAATAGGCAGTACTTCCCTAGACGAATTCTTTCACAAGTAGCAGTATGGCTTCGATTGGATTTTCACGTTACCGAGGTTACGACAATAATTTGGTTTGTTACATGAGCATAAAAAAGAAAACTTTAGGCTAACCGAAGCAAAGAATTAATGAATGCGAAAGCGAAAAAGTAAGAAAAACTTGAATGTTATTATATGTTATTTTTGTGTAAGTCTTAGTTTTGTTGGAGTATTTGGAGCGTAGCCATGGCGATACACAATTTTCTTAAAGACGTTTCTTTAATAACATTTTTTATTTCTAGTTAAAAGAGTTTAAATTTACATCTCAATGTGTTATTGCACCTTCTTCTTACGCCCAGCATTTGATTTATTGTTTTCTAACGAAGGTTTCTGCACCTCCTGTTTCTTTCTGCACATCATACTACAAACTTTCCGTATTATTTTCTTCAACCCGTACAGTACTAATACAAGGAATGCCACCTGGTCCAGCATCCACCTTTCGTACCATTTGTACAAATACGTCGCTGAACGAAGGTGGTAGGCTCCTGTGAAAATTACAATGGTTAGTATGCTAATAATAATATATAGTTCTGCCACGACCAGAGTTTGGAGTACCAACTAAGCTACAGGTCGTGTTTACTAAGTTGACGAATTTCTTTTATGTCTCTGATAGATTATTGACACCGTAGCGACATCTGTGAGAGATTTTATAAACCATCTCACTCAGCCGATAACTTTCCAATTACCACAAGCTGATGTTGATGTCGCTTTTTAACCGACTTGAAAAAAAGAGGAGCCGGTTATAACGTTCGCTGTGTATGTTGTCCGATTTCTTCGGGCTTTTTTCTTCTCATTACTCGACCATGTCTGTAATGAGAAGAAAAAGGCCGGAGGATTTCATTTTGGGGCATTATAGTCAAATACTACAAGTTAGTCTGCATGCAATCATATTATATACTCGCAAATATAATGAAAAACATTGTATGTTTCTTGGGCGGTACGGGATCTTTGTTATTTTTATAATAACCAAGTAACGGGTCGCTCAAATCGTGCGCTGACGGTAATCTACATGCCTGTCCACAACAGTTGCAGTGCCACTCAGAGCTTTAAATCGCAAGAATCTGAGAGGCACTGCCAGTGCGCTCGTCATCCTGAGACATAAGTTGACAAGTCCCATGTGCCTGTAATTTCACGAGCACCCTTACCCTTCAAAACCGGAACACAGTAATGCTGACATTACTGCTTGGCGGCAGAAATAGGTAATGTAGCAGTATTTCCCTTGATAAACCCTTTGGTCCATCTTCGTAACTGTTTTTCATAACTAGTTACGAAAGAAGATTTTTCCTTCACTGTTTCGTAACCAGTTATTAAAAAGGAATATTTAATCCGTATTCAAAACTCCAAACTTATTCACAAGAAGCTCTACTGCTACCAAAAATTACGAACCTCGATTCCGAAAGCCCTGTCTTCGACTTCGGGCTTCTGATTGGGTCTCGTTCGTAATTCCTTATTTACCGCCCTTGACACATAATGTACTATTATTGTTCTATGAGTTTGTTGTTATATATTACAAAGAACAAACAAACACAAAGAAAAGGAAGCGAAGGACCACTGGAACCGAACACGCGACTGTTTGAGCGATAGCCCCGGTTCAAAGTCAAAGGATCATTTTATTCCTTATGTAAAATAAATTTGCCCTTGAAAACGTCACATTTAAGTTGCTGCTTTAAGCTACTGCTCGTCCACTACGCTGAGACGAACGAACAAGAAACTCTAGGGATTGCTCTGTTCAAATAAATATGCAATGGAATACACTTTGAATCAAATTTGTGTGGATTCTGGAGCCATGTCGTCTTGCCATACATCTTTATCTAACACGTAGTCTTCAATTTTGCAATATGACTTTTCAATCAAAATATTTTTAATGTAAGTTTTAAACTTAGGAAATTTTAATCTTAATATATGCTCCGGAATCTTATTGTAAAAACGTATACAGGTCCCCATAAAAGAGTCGTTTAACTTGGTTAAACGAAATCGTGGTACCATGAGTTTGGACTTAGCTCTATGGTTAATATTATGGATATCTTATTTCTTATTGAAATTATGTATATTTCTATATTTCTGAGGCAAACAGTCGCTGGTTCGAGTCTAGTCGTATGAAAGGAATTTTCCCTTGAGTTTGTTTGATTTTTGTATCAAATTCCCTGTTTGTCAGGTCGTTTAAACACTCGCTACAGACTCACCTTTCGTTTCAATGGCTAGTTCGACGTAATGTGATATTAGTTGAGACGGTGGTGTAGGGCGGTTATTAAAGATTTTCGACAAATACTTCACTCGTGTGTGGTAGCTGGAATAATAAGAAAATAAAATACGTTACGATTGGAATTAATAAAATACGAAAGGCAGTCAATTTTTTTTATAACAGCTAGAATTCAAATTTTTCTCGTACTAATACGGTTCATTTTGCCTGGTTCGAGCATCAGAGACCCTGGCTTTATTTCAGAATTTATATTAAAGCCATTTTTAAAATGAATATCGTATAGTACACGTGTACTATTTAGCTCAGTTGATATAAAAATACAATGGTATATATAAAGTACTTATTGAATACAGCGGTTTTATTGTAAAATTTCGAGGTAAGTTTGCATATTTTTTCAAACGTCAAAATTTTAAGTAATCGTCTTTTCACACCATATACTAATCAGTGCATATCCTCAATTTTACTATAAATTTTTTCCAAATTGATTGATTCAACACGTTCACTGTTATGCGAAATCAAACAAAGCCATTTGAGGTTGAATAGACTCTTAAAACCTTCTTCCGAAGAAGAAATTAAATACAATTATATAGATTGTATAATTTTTAAACAAAACGCATAATATACATACAATATGGTACAATGGAAATGTGAAGATACCATTTTTACTTGGTTACTTACCTACGATGAAACTGAGAAACTTGTAACCTTCACGTTGTTCACGTAGTGTTCATATAAAAACTTTATTTTTTGGGCATATTCTGTTATTTTTGTAAACAGTTTTGTTTATATACATTAACATTTTGCACCTCGAATTACGTGAAAAAAATAAAGAAACACAAAACAAAAATTGAAAAAAAAAAACAAAACATACGAATTTTGTGAACAATAAAACAAAAGAAAAACAGAACAGGTCCAAAAAGTTCTAAGGTTTCTAAGGAGTTCTAAGGTACAAGACTTTCCCAGTTTACGCTCCTGTCTCACACAACGCCTTGTACCTACGCTGTGAACCCTTACTTTTAAAATTTTTTTGTGGGAGAAAATAAACAAAAATTAGCTCACCTGTTGTTGTTTAACATTTCTGTCAGAAGTATCTCCAACTTTGGAGCAAATTCTGGTTCATATGGCACCACACGTGCATACCCAGCTCGCTCAGCTTGCCGAGCATTGGCGGGCTGATCCCCAGCCACGGGTACGGCGAGAAGAGGGACTCCATAGTGGATTGCTTCGATTGTGCTAAGGCCGCCGCAATGGGTTATGAAGAGACGGACGTTAGGGTGCGCTGAAATTTTAATAAAATGACGATCCATACGTTATATAAAACTGAGTTACACGATCATTACGCCAAAGAAAATTATTCGAAATTAGTTTTCAAATCAAAAAATGCGCAGAGTGCGACAAAGCTCAAACAGAGTTCTTAAAATGACATAGATGGGACTCCGATCTGCTTGCTACGTTCACCGAACTTCACGTCCTGGGTTCGGTGAACTTAGCAGGTATCATGTAATCATTTCATTCATGTAACCATGTAATTATTTCATTCATGCATTCATTCATTTTAAATTCTTTATTTTTATTGTGTAACTTTTTTTTGTTGATAAGCTAGAGGACGTCTTTAAGCCCAAAGTCCCACAGTGCCTGAAGACCAAGGTCCATAATAAATGTGTCTTACCGATCCTCAACTTCATTGCGGAAAGAAAGAAAAGAAAAGAAATTTAAAAACACACAAATTATTATTAATATATATTCTTCATATTTACATTACAATTAGTGTTGGTATTGGTATTGGTGCAACGGGCTGGTTTCCGCAACTCGACGTCGAGGCGCCTATTTTGCAATTTAATTTAATTTAATTTAATTTAATTAGTGGTATTACGAGAATTAATTAATCATTTAAATATTATTTCAATGAGTAAAAACATTTTTTAAAAAGAAATTGCTTTAAGACTTTGTTTAAAAAAAAAGTTCACTTTTTAATTGGTCACATTTATTTATTTGTTTGTTTTTAAAAACACTTAAGCTATCATGACATAATTTGTTACGAATTTTTATTATCATTGAATATATCGTGTACGGACGTCGAAATTCGAGGTAAAGCGATGGTCCATGACGTGGGTAATGGCATCACCAGGTTAAGGTGGAGCTGGGCGGGACATTTGGCTAGACGAGAAGATGGACAGTGGACCAAAGCAGTCACGAAATGGTGGTCAAGAGGAGCAAAAAGGCAGACCACCAGCCCGATGGCGATGTACTAACGATATCGTTAGTTTCACGGGATCGCGCTGGATGCGAATGGCGCAAGATCGCAAATATTGTCTCAATAAAGAAGAGGCCTATGCTCAGCAGTCGGTTGATGTTGGATGACATGATGATGATGATGTACTTTTGTACTAACAGTAGAATACTAACAAAATGGACTGTAATTTGTCTGCATTAAGTTAATTTACTGCGTCTGTGGCCGAACGGTTACCAGGCCGGACTGCCATGCAGAGGTCCCAGGTTGGATTCCCAGGCCGGTAGAAAAAACCATAACCACGTTTTCAGAATATTGAAAATTTTATTATAGTAATTAAATCCGGAAAAATAGTTCCATTTCCTATGTGTAACAATCGCGAAAACCTAAGAACTCGATATTGTTTCATAATATTTCAGCTACGCATCGTTAGGGTAAGTTCCGATAAGTCAAACACGTTAACTAATTTTTAACTGTTTTTAAAAGATAATTTTGTGCTATTTAAAATGGTTATTTCACCATTTGTCACTTATTCGCGTTTTAGTAAGTGGACGGCAGAAATATTTCTCCGGGCCCGGGAATGGGAAGAAAAAGTTTATCTTCGGATGCGTTCTGAATTTACACTTCATCAATTTACATTTTTGCTTGTACTTTTGTTTTCAGTGATTAAGTGATTATTGACATTATTTTAGTTCTTCGACGAATTAAAATAGTCTAATAAACACAATTAGTTATCACTGCCAATTTAATGTCAACAATTATAAGAATAAAATATACCAATGATTTTGTTTTAGTTCTGTTTTGTTCCGTTTTCTATTTTTTTTTGTCTTTTGTCTTTTATTGTGTCATTGTGGTAAACAAATAAATGTATTTTCTTTATTTCTTTCAATGGATTTATATTACATAAATAAGTAATGTACGACAAATCGCGTACTTGAACGTGTCATTTTTTTTATCGTAAGAAAAAGTTAGGCGCACCACTGTCCACGCTAGCGTGCAAAAAACGCTTTTGCGCGCAGATATCTAATAAGAAAGAAAGCCTTTCCAAGCTAGGGAGGTGAATACTAATTATTCAACAATAAAATACCTAACTTTAAACATAATTTTCATATGGAGATATTTCTCTTTAAGTAATTTTGGTTTTCATGTGAAGCCCCCTACAGTCATTAAATTCACTTTGATCCCAAAACTTGAAAATTGCCCAGCGCTTGAAACAACACGTCATACCGTCCGTTGCCCCGTCAGTCGCCATTGGGCGCTTGTCAACGTTGTATCTTTATCAAATATTCTCCGACTGTTCTTATTTTATTTATATTCGAGGGGCGATCCCTCACATCCCGCGTTAAAATACCTCGCCTTAATGAAAGCCAACAGAGCTGCTTGCCATCTGATGATGTACCGTTAGTTACTTTGGTAGTTGATGTAAAAGTTAGTGCTTACCTAAAATTCTAGGTTGTGGCCACCAGTTCCTAACGTGAATATTCTTAGGCAATCCCGTAGGCACAACGTCTAATTTCCACAGCACTGTCATTTTTAATGTTCCGAAAATTTGTACTAATTTATGAATAGTCTCTTCTGGGATTGCAGATGTTTTCAATATTGAGCCCATGCTGAAGTATATCACTCCTTGTGGAGAATTGTCAAGAAGTTCTTGAAGATCCTGTAAAAGAAACACAAACATAATGAAATTTATGGAAGTCTTCAAAGATTTGCCCAGCCGTATTGGACCAGCAATGCCTTATAGTAGTAATAGGGCTCTTTGTGAAAGCGTTCATCCATGGAAGTACTGCCACTTTACCTATTTTCGCCGCCAAGCAGTAATATCCTTCCGATACTGTACGACATTGTTTCACCGACCTCCTTGCTTTCATAGACCACTCTAGTTTGAATAGGTTTATTGTGTCTTTGTTTAAAGTTCATAACTTTAGTTTTGTCAAGATTTATAACTAGATCATTATATTTCAGCCATTCAATAATAGAGACCAAACTTGTATTTATATTTGTTTCATTGTCATAAATTACCGTACAATCATCCGCAAATAATATCATAGGGTCGTTAATTGATTTAGGAATGTCATTTATGTATATTAAGAATAGCAATGGTCCCAATACGCTACCTTAAGGTACTCTTTGACTTACTATTACCTGTGATGATGCATAAAACTTCTCAATTTTGTGTGTTGACTGAAGTCTATTTTTAAGGTAGGATTTTATTAGTTCCTAGGCGTTGCCTTTTACACCGTATACCCACAATTTATGCAAAAGCGTGTCATGATTTACATAATCAAATGCCTTGGTTAGATCCATGTATAATGATGAAACGGGCTGACCTCTGTCCATCCTAGAATATATTTTATCAAGTTATTCGTAGATAGCCAAATTCATGGAATTATTCTTTCGGAAGCCTTTCTGTTGGTCTATTAGTATATAATTTTTTTCTAGATATGAGTATAGGTTATTAAATATTAATTTTTCGAAAATCTTGGACATTACTGGAATTAAAGGAACTGACCTATAGTTCCCTAATTCGCCCTTATCACCTTATTTGTAGAGAGGTTTTATTACTGTCGTTTTTAACTCTCTTGGGAATATCCCATGTTCAATGCATTGCATACGATTCCGGAGCATGTATTAAGTTTACCATTTCCTAAGTTTAAAACTTACGTTAAAAGTGTTTTAGTTGAAAAGTCATATTACAAAATTGTAGACTACGTGTTAGATAAAGATGTATAGGAAAGACAACCTGAGTCTAGATTCATACATTTAAGTTTATTTGAAAAGAGCAATTCCTAGAGTTTCTTGCTTGTTCTTCTCAGGGAGGTCAGCGTAGTGAACGAGCAGTAGCTTAAAAAATGACGTTCTCAAGTGTAAAATTTTACCTATAAAATAAACGATTATTTGACTTTAACTTTGACTATGCTCCCATAAGGAGTTGTGCAAACAATTAACTAAGTTAGTTCGTCATAATTCATCAAGGGTTTAAAGATGCAAATATTTTAACTCTACCCCGTCAATTTATATTTGAAAGTAAGTATAATGTTCTTTTTCTGTAGCTAAATTGTGCTTGATTAAATTCTTTATGTATTTGTTACAAGATCGAGAGATTTGTTCGAAGATTTAGACGTTCTAGACGTTAGACGTACGACGTCTACAGCCTTTTGGGCCAGCATGTTGGTAAAATGCGAGGTCAGCCTAATGATTTGACAGTTGCCTTGGGTTTCGAATCTGTGCTCGATCCCTTGGGTTTTAGGAACAAGTCGTGTACCTGGTGGTTACCAACAAACCGACATAACAGTTGCAGTGCCACTCAGAGCTTTAAATCGCAAAGATCTTAGGGGCACAGCCACAGCGCCTGTCACCCTGAGACATGAGATGACAAGTCCCATGTGCTTGTAATTTCACCAGTGCCCTTACCCTTCCGAACTGGAACGAAGTACTGATAGTGGGATGTATGAAATGGGTTGATGACGAGTTGGTTACGGGTTAAGTTGGAGCCTAAAACTACAATTTTAGTATCCATAATGGACATAGTTATGCAAACTAGAACCAACCCACAAAATATCACTTTCGAGATAATTAGATTTTTGTAAAAACAGTGTGAAGAAATAAATAGGTAAGTTATTTGAGACAAACAACGTGAGTTATGTGTAGCATTGAGAATGATATAGGGAAACTATTATATTGTATAGCAATAAATAGAAAACATTATGATCTTTTTATTTAGTTAATGAGAACCATGTTCTAGTTTTCGTAATAAAAACGCTAATGATCTACATTACTTGAATACATGTGACATGGATCCATTTAGCATATTTTAAAATGCATGGTTCTCTTTAGCTTAAAAAGTTATTTATTTAGGGTTGGTACCCTGAAGGACTTTTATTTTCTCCGTTTTAGCTTGGCATATTGCCAGGATCTTTTGTGAGCGGGTAAAGGACACGTCTGGTGTTCTACCTAAATACATAACTCTTTTTCACTCGAGGTGTGAGTTGGTTCTTGTTTGCATAGCTATGTCCCATTGAACTAATGTTAAGGTTTAAAAATTTACCTGAGGTAAGGGGACACCCTCATCAATGTGGAATCCAGCCACATTAATGACGTTAGGTGGCAAACTCTGCGCCGTAGCGATGGATGGATGAGAGTTGAGCATCAATATGGATATGTTGGAACAAGCAACCCCGATCGGGGGTAGCTCTATCCCTCTAGCTTGGGCTATGGGGGAGAAGTAAAATTCATAATAACTTGCATCTACAGCTGCATTGTACCTGAGAAGCATTAAATTTTAAGTTACAAGCTGGCGAAGCAATTACCTTCAAATAAGTAATATATAGACTCTTGATGTGAATGAAGCTTCTTGACATTGTCTTTTATTGGTCGAGTATTACTTATTTGACAGTAAGGGCGCGTTCACATTAGCCTCTGTTAGCCGCGCTGCAGCCACACTCGGTTGCATCATGGTTAGTGAGGTGTACATGTTAATTTTTCAAATTAACTATGATGGACGAAATTCGAGTTGAAGGATTTATAGAGAATGCTGAACAACACCTTGCAATATGGGATATCAGTTCCGCCAGTTATTCTAATCGACTGGAAAAAAGGCATGGGAAAATTTATGACTGCCTAAAATTTATAGACAATTTCGAAACTAAAGCTACAAATGAAAAAAACATAGCAGGTTGTGAGTAATTTTTAATATCTATACGTGAAGTGTGTGCCCCAAGAACTCTGACCCTCCTAATTACATTCCTTTTGGTTCTGAATACAAGTGTGAAGAATAGTGTTAATCAAACGTAAAAATCCCATAAAAACCCGTAAACTAGGCGAAAAATAGTTACAAATATAATATTACAAATCGAGTTTTGTAACTATTTAATGGTAGTATTCATTTTGATTATTTTGACAAAATAAAGGTAACGAACGGATTCTAAAGGTGCCTACGACATTGTCGATCAACAAC